TTCCTTAGTTTAGCCAATCCATCATGAAAAGTAAAAAGGGGTAAAGTAACTTTGTCTTGATTGTTTTCTAAATTTAAGTTTTTTTCGTCCGCATGTAAAAAAGGAATAAATAAATCAATCAAATTCCGGGAGGCTTCATAAAGTGCTTCTTTAGGAGTTAAACTTCCATTTGTCCATATTTCGAGAAAAAGTATCTCTTGTTTTTCATTCCCATTCACATAAGAATGAATACTAAAATTTGCATTTCGAACAGGCATGAATACAGCATCTATAGGATAACTTCCGTCTTGAAAGGTATTTAGTGTTTTTATACGATATCCGCGATTCCTCTCGATTTGTAATCCAATACACAAATTGATAGGTTCTGTTAGATTAGCTATATGTTGTGTATTATCAACGATTTCCACAGAAGGTGGTAAAATTATGTCTTGAGCAGTTACATATCCCGGACCCTTGACCCAAATAGACGCGTCCCGAGTTCCATAGAGATTACTTCTCAATACAATTTTTTTCAAATTCATTAAAATTTCATGTACTGATTCTTGAATACCCGCTATGGTAGAATATTCATGTGGTATTTTCTCAGATTTTGCACGTGTGATACATGTTCCCTCTATTTCTCCGAGCAAAGCTCTTCGCATCGCAATGCCTATTGTGTCGGCTTGACCTTTCATAAGTGGAGACAGAATAAAGCGTCCATAATAAAGACACTTACTGTCTGCTCTTGATTCAACACACTTCCACTGCAGTGTCCGAGTGGATGCTCTTACTTTCTCTCGAACCATAATAATCTATTTTGATCAAATCCTTGAATTTGAATTATTTATTTCTCTTGAAATCACTTCAATGTTTATTTTTCCTTTTACACACGTCTTTTTTTAGGGGGCCTACATCCATTATGTGGCATAGGGGTTACATCCCGTATGAAACTTAATAGTATACCACTTCTACGAATAGCTCTTAATGCCGCATCTCTTCCGAGACCGGCACCTTTTATCATGACTTCTGCTCGTTGCATACCTTGATCCGCTACTGTCCGAATAGCATTTCCTGCTGCGGTTTGAGCGGCAAAAGGTGTCCCCCTTCTTGTACCCTTGAATCCACAAGTACCGGCGGAAGACCAAGAAATCACCTGACCCCGTACATCTGTAATAGTCACAATGGTATTGTTAAAACTAGCTTGAACATGAATAACTCCCTTTGGTATTTTACGCGCATTCTTACGTGAACCAATACGTACATTTCTACGTGAACCAATTTTTGGTATAGGTTTTCCCATATTTTATTATCTCATAAATATAAGTCAGAGATATATGGATATATCCATTTCATGTCAAAAGCGGACCCTTTCTATTTTTCGATTTTTTCATTTTTTTTTTTTATTTTTTTTGTGCATCCGGTCAAGCCCCCCTTTTTTGTTTGTTTTTTTGATTTGTTTTTTGGAAAGATTATCCTTGTCTTTGTTTATGTCTTGGATTGGAACAAATTACTATAATTCGTCCGCGTCTACGAATCAGTCGACATTTTTCACAAATTTTACGAACGGAGGCTCTTATTTTCATATTTGTTATTCCTTAACTGAATTCCGAATTTTTTTATTGGAAGAGAATAGGGTTTCCTGAAATTTTTAACTTCTAATTGTATCGCCATAAAAAAAAGAATGTTGAGGGTGAAAAACAGTATAATCATTCGAATTTGTGTTCCGGAGTCTATCCGCTTGAAGCAAAATGATTTACTTCTATTTTTTACTTTATCTCCCGGTAGTATCCGTATAAAACTATGTCGAATTCTTCCGGAAACATGACCACCTAGAATCTATATTTTCATTATCTGGAATCTTATTTTCATTATAGGAACGAACCTGGAACATACCATTGGGAAGTGATTCAGTAATTAAACCCTCATGATTTTATTTCTATTGCAGTTAAAACCCCTTTCCCGTATTCACTAATGTATGTGGAGTGATATTAGAAACCCGCTTTTTCTCTCTCTTTTTTCACAAAAATGTATGTAAGTTTCTCATAGAATTCGGATATCAGAAAGATTACCATATATAACATAAAATTTCTCCGCCGATTCTTTCTAATCGAGCCTCTCGATCTGTCATTATACCTCGAGAAGTAGAAAGAATTACAATGCCCATCCCTCCTAAAATTCTAGGAATTCGTTGATAATTAGAATAGATTCGTAGACCAGGTCTACTGATTCGTTTTAAATTCAAAATAGTTTTATATGACCCTTTCCTATTTCTTCTATGCCGTAGAGTTAAAACTAAAAAATATTTGTTGCTTTCCCTATGTTTTCTCACGTTTTCAATAAAACCTTCTCGAAAAAGTATTGTAACAATGTTTTCGGTGATGTTAGTAGATGGTATTCGAACCGTCCCTTTTCTATTCATGTCAGCATTTCGTATAGAGGTTATTATGTCAGCAATGGTGTCCTTACCCATGATAAACTAAAATGATTGTTGCCCTTGACTTTTGATATAATCAACATGCTTTTTTATTAATTATTAAAATGAATTAAAATTATTAAAAATTTATTAATATTACTTTAATATAATATTAAATATTAATCTTTAATATAATATTAAATATTAATATTACATTACTGAGTTTTTTTTTTTATTAATTAATGAGATTTTCTATTTTTTTTTTATTGATTTTTATATTTATATTGAAATTTTCTATTGAATATTGATATTTTTTTTTTATGAATTATTGAATTTTTAAATATTTTTTGATTTTTTAATAATAATTAGAATCTTTTTTGTATAATAATTACAAAAGAAAAGGTATATGCGTGAGATATAATCAATCTATTAATTAATCTATTTCATTCAAATACTATAAATATATCATAGTCTCGTCTTATAATACTTCGGGTGCTAATGAAACTATTTTAGTGAAATTTAACTGTCTCAATTCCCGAGCAATTGCACCAAAAATTCGAGTTCCTTTTGGATTTCCTTCTTGATCAATGACAACTGCAGCATTATCATCATATTGTATTATCATACCGTTGTTACGTTTGAGTTCTTTACAAGTACGTACGATTACAGCTCTGATCACTTCTGATCTTTCTAACGGTGTATTTGGTACTGCTTCCTTGATTACAGCAACAATAACGTCACCAATATAGGCATATCGTCGATTACTAGTTCCTATGATTCGAATACACATCAATTCGCGGGCCCCGCTGTTATCGGCTACATTCAAATGGGTTTGAGGTTGAATCATATCATTTTTTTTTTCTCTGTTCTTTCAGTGCAAAGGGCGAAGTAAAAAAAAAAAAAAAGAAATATTGTGTATCAAAAAAAAAAAAAAGAAACCTACAATTGCAATTGTTTTTTTTTCATCCCAAAGACCTCTTTCCTTTGGTTCTAATTATTATGCCGAAATAATGAATTGAGTTCGTATAGGCATTTTGGATGCTGCTATTGTAATAGCCTTTCTGGCTATATTTTCTGTGACTCCGCCCATTTCATAAAGTATTCTACCGGGTTTAACGACAGCTACCCAATATTCGGGAGATCCTTTTCCTGACCCCATACGTGTCTCTGTAGGTCTTACTGTAACCGGCTTGTCTGGAAATATGCGTACCCATATTTTTCCACCGCGGCGGGCATTTCGTGACATTGCTCGCCGCCCTGCTTCTATTTGTCTAGATGTGATCCAAGTGGGTTCAAGTGCTTGAAGAGCATATCTACCGAAGCAAATATGATTACCTCGAGAGGATATTCCTTTCATTCTTCCTCTATGTTGTTTACGGAATCTGGTTTTTTTTGGGTTATAGTTGATGGTTTTTTCTCAATTCCATCTCTACTACAGAACCGTACATGAGATTTTCACCTCATACGGCTCCTCGCGAATGAAACGATTAAAATAGAATAGAATATACATGGATTTCATGAATAATATATCGAATCGTGGTGGGACTTTTTGAGATTTCATTTAATCTATTGGTTTATTGGAAATTTGTATATCTTCTTTTGATATATAACTAAACATCTTTTTACAAATATTCTTTTTCTATTATAGACAATTCTTGTTATCTAGATATAAATAGATAATGTTGTTTTCTTATGTTATAAGGTTCTAACGAATCTTTATTTTGTTTTTCCTTTTATTACCATATCGGATTGGCCCCTATTTAGAAATCCAATAAAATCCAAATTTTCGCGGGCGAATATTTACTCTTTCATTATCTATTTCAGATGTAGAGTTAGCCCATGACTCCTCAGAACATGATTCCTCCGAATAAATGGATTGGTTTTTGGTTCCTTCCGCCATCCCACCTAATGAATCATTAAGATTTGGTTTTAATAAAATCTTAGGCATTCACAGGTTCCGTCGTTCCCATCGCTTCTCGTTTAATGGTTAGGTCTCAATTGTACAATGGAGCCTCTAATTAAATTAATAATTAATTCCATTTTGTTTTTTTTCTTTAGTCAACCTTCTCAGTTTTTAGTGACTCGGGGCTCTTGATTTGTTTGTTCGATCAATATAGTCATCTAATTATGGATTAATTAATATTGATGCTTTATTACACTATCTTTTATGACATGACTCATAGACCCTACATATTAGAATTCTATATCATTGATATTCTTTTTCTCTCTTTCTTTCACCCTTTCATTTATCCATATATTCGTATTGCTTCACAACTCATAATCAGATTCGTTTTTCTTGTTTTTTATGCAATATTTCAGTTGGTATAATGATATCGCCAATATATTATATCTTTACTTATATCTTGACTGGTTCTTTAGATCCAGATAATGCGAAGCGATGAGTTGGTTATTAGTTCTATAGTTATTAATTAATTAATTAATTAATACTACTACTACGAGTTGGTTTATTTTTTTTAGAATGGTTAGAATTCAACAAAAGAATGGTTAGAATTCAACAAAAGAATGGTTAGAATTCAACAAAAAAATAAACCAACGCAACGAGTCGCACACTAAGCATAGCAATTATATCAATATCAAATGATTAATC